GACGATGCAGCTTCGAGCACCGACCAAGCCGGTGTTGGTATTGCCCTGAGTCCCCGGGCTGAAGCTACTCTAGTTGATTGGGTTCCAATCAGTAGCCGGATGTGTGCGGTCCGATTGGCTGGCTCCTTCAAAGCTTCGAAGTCTCGTGGGACTAATAATTGTCTATTCGTTATCACTGTTTAGGCGCCCACAAACTGTAGCGATGATTCGGTAAAAAGCGACTTCTATCGCCAACTGAACGAGCACCTTCGCCACAGAAGCTCGGACACTGTAGTACTTGCGGAGGATCTGAACGCTCAAGTTGGAAAATTATCCACTGATGAAGAGCATCTGGACGGCCAACATGTAGACTCCCGTGATAATAACGGTGAGCGGTTACTTAATTTGTGTGAGGATGCTCGCTTATTTCTTGCGAGTACTAATATCCGACACAGTACCCGCCGGAGGGTGGCTTGGCCCCCACCAGCCTCGAATCAGCTATGGACGCAAATCGATCACATTGCGGTTAGTTACCGATGGAAAGGCTGCGTCCAGAACTGTCGCTCGATTTGGAGCACATGTGTGTACACCGACCATGCATTTGTATGTGCTTACCTGCGAATGCGCTTTCGCGGACGCGCACGACGAAGTTGTGAGCGCATTGACACCAGCCAACTGGCAAAGCCAGCTGTTCTGAGTGCGTATCGAAGTACGCTGTCATGCGAGTTGGTTAAACGCTCACTGGATGCAACTGAAGGTCACTGGTCTCATATTCACCAATCCTTACTGGCAGCAGGAAAATCCTCCTGTGGTAAGTCTAATTGTCAACATGGACATTAGGTTTCTTCGCGGTCTCTGGAACTTACCGATGCTCGCCGGCATATTCCGGCTAGAAGCGAACACAATGAAACTTGCAAAGAACTCCTGGTAAAACTCCGTGCTAGCCTGAGATCGCTAATCCTGGTGGTCTCATCGTGCTTCAGAGATGGAAATGGCCGCTGCCCTTGGCAACCATCGTAAGTTGTTCCGGCTGCTACGGGAAACGGGCAGCAAGAGACCTGGTGTTAGTGAAAAAATTTGTAACAAGAGTGGACAGCGTATCCACAACTTGTCAAAACGCTTGGAGCGTTGGGCTGAGCACTTTGAAAGGCAATGTAATCAGCCGGAATTGTTAGATTTTTCGCCCGCCAGTGATCGCTCTGCTCCGTGGGCTGTCCCTTTGTATCCGTCCTCTCGCTCAGGAGTCGAACGTGAGATCGAACTGTTGAAATTACATAAAGCCGCGGGACCAGGTGATCTTCCTCCACTCCTCTTCATATTCGGTGACCTGCTTTTGTGGATGGTTTACACGAGTTACTAGTGAAACTGTGGGAGCAGGAAACTGTCCCCACCGACTGGAGCCGCTTCGTCATTATCCCAATTTTCAAGAGTGGCTCACGATCTGAATGCGGCATTCATAGAGGAATCAGTCTGATCTCCTTCGCCTCCAAATTGCTTGCGTCTGTCATTCTCCACAGATTGACTGGCACTTGTGAAAGCCATTCGTGAAGAGCAAGCCGGGTTTCGTCGAGGTCTTGGCTGCATTGACCACATCTTTACCTTGCGTCAGTTGTTGGAGCACCGTCACATATGTTGGCGGCCCACCGTTGTCGTGTTCCTCGATATCATAGGTGCATTCGATTCGGTGCACTTTGGGACTGTCTGCTGAGGAAAGGTGTACCTGAGAAATATATATATATGTTATCCGAGCATTATACGCGCGTAGCAGCAGTGTGAGACAAGGATGCCCGCTGTCACCTTTCCTCTTCAACTTCACTATTGATGAAGTCATTTAAATCGCGTTTACAGTACACGCAAGTGTGGATCTTCTCCCAGGAGAACGACTTCTTGCTTTAGAGTATGCTGATTATATTGCCCTAATCTGTAACAGCTCACAAATGTGCCAAGCGGCACTGGACAGATTAGCACTAGCTCTCCGTCACTTCGGGCTTTGCTTCGCACTCTCGAAGTGCAAAGCGTTCCTCCAAGATTGGTCTGGACCGCCTCCTTCGCTGACCATTGGTGGGGATCATCTCGAAGTCATTCAAAAATTCAACTACCTGGGAAGTTGTATCAGCGCCCGTGGGATTGAAGATGAGATCACGAATCGTATAGCAAAAGCTCGGGGCCCTTTTGCCAACCTTCACCACTTTATGGCACTGGCGCGACATCACTTTTCCCCTAGAGGGTAGAGTGTACAATGCAACGGTACGTTCGACCCTACTGTGTGGTTGTGAAACCTGACCCCTTATAGCAGCGGACATAAAGGGGCTAGTTACGTTCGACCACCGGTGCCTTCGCAATTTAGCTCCCATCTGGTGGTAACACCGCGTGAGGAACGAGCGTGTTTGACGTCTTGTTTACGGCACAGGAAAAGGAACTGAACCGCTCTGCACCGTTATTTCCGGCACCAGGCTCTGATGGCTCGGTCACGTGTTACGCATACCAGCCCGCCAACTCCCTCGACGTGCGTTGTTTGCGCACCGGGTCTGTGGTTGGAAGAAGAGGAGAGGTGGCCAAGCGATAACTTTTCAAGACGCATGAAGGGCCTCACTTCTGAGCTGGCCTCGGTTAGGGCGTCTCGGTTCTCTGATTGGGGTCCGAAAGACAGTGCACACGTTTGGCTAGATACACTTACTGATATGGCAAGGAGCCGACCTCAGTGGCGTTCTTGTTGTTTGTTTGTCCCACCTCATTCATCTTAGCTTCCCCGTCCAGCCACGATCTTACTATTTCGCCTTGTTTAATTTTGCATAGTACTTTTTTCATGCACAACAGCAGGCTGGTAGCTTAACGGAACGGTGCCCATCTTTCACCGGTAGCTCAGCTGGCTGGCACCAGTTTTTCTCCTTTTTTCTATGTTTTGCGGCACAGTAGTTGAGGTATTTCCCACCTCTAGCTAACGTGTATGATGATGATGGTAAGCGCTTTAGGATAGCTTCGTGCAATGGTTTCAGAATGTTGTGCATGATCCGCAAAGCGTTTTGGGGCCATCATGGTTTATATGTTAGCTTATTCTCAGTCTTTGTTAGGCCACATTTGAAATACTGCATCCAGGCTTGTCCACCTAGCTTAGCCAAAAACAAGGTGTCAGTGAACTGTTGAGGGTTAAAACCAGAATGGTTCATACGCTACGAAACGTTTCTTACCCAAAAAGATTCCTTTCGCTAGGAATCTTTTCAATGCATTATGGTCGCCATCGAGACGACTTGATCTTGATTTATCGCATTATTACCAGTAATATCGTGCCTGGTTTATCTCGCCTTTTCCAACTAGCTCTTTTTCCATCTCTCTAAGGTCACTCTATGAAGCTACACAAGCCTCGATCGGGTGAAGTCTGGGCGAATTTTCGTTTATCACGCAGTAGTAGATTCCTGAAATTCACTGCCAGGGAATGTGGTGTTGTCACTAACGGTGAAAGAATTCGCACACCGACTTGCCACCCTGGCCTTCAGTTCCTGTATTTCCCCTACACAGCTTATTCGCCTTATTCCATTATTCCATCTCTATTACGTTTTGTTTCTACGTTTATATTACTTTCTTCTGTTTCTTATTTCACATGACTGGTGCGGTGGTGACTGCCGATGCATGGCACATGGGTATTAATTAGTTGACCGTGGTGTGATTCACGCGTGCTAATCTGACTCTTTCAGATTCCTGATATCGTGGAGGAATGATACCCCAGATCACCGACGCGCCACGGAAGGAACACCCAGGGGAATTTATCCTACTGTTCCATTCCCACTTGAAAGGAATGAAGAAAAGGCGTCAACAGTACGCCGCTATGCAGTACCGACCTTCGCTGCCACGCAACCACCACTGCTCGCACGGGGGCTAAGAATACTGCGAGGGTTACCTTGCCCCTACGCAGACTCGAACCCGCGCCGCAAGATTTCGAGATAAGCTCGTTATCTCTAGGCTACGGTCCGACACTCCCACTTGAACTTGTACTTGAATGAGTTTGGACCGACTCCATTGGTGAAACGTGGCTCCTATCCATATGCTTCCCAGTTTCATTCCTTAGGGTTTACACTGAATATGTGACTGAAGCTGTGGTTGGTGCAGCGCAAACCACCTGCTCTCTGTAGGCGCTGGCGTCCTGTGGCTTTCCTATGGAGGCCGCAGTGACCGGCAAATCCGAAACCGTATGCCGCCAACCATAAATCAGCATTTGCACTTCTAGAATTGTCTGTGTTTGTATACGAAATTAATACTGCTTGTTCTATGAATTAAATTTATCCTTTGCTTTATTTGCTATGATAATCTGCTCTCGACGCTCTTTGACTGGATTCACAGAGAGGCTTCTCTTCGTATACCTTAAAGTATATGAACTCATGAAATCACGCTCACTAACTGACCAGTTTTTCAGTTTGTATGCCTTTGGCTTCGTGAGTTGCCAAGCTGGTGTCAAGTACACTTCGGATCCATCCACAGCTACATTGCTTCACCGAAGTAAAGCCAGCACAGTGGCTGATTAGTGGCAAGTGACCTCCTTAATGCTAAACGGATATCTATGGCTTTGTATAAAAAGTGCGCTTGCCATACGAAATCTCACGACGTCCTGAAACACTGCCGCCGTATTATTTGCTGTAAGGGGATTGACTCAGACCTTCCAGCTAGCACCACTAACGAATAATCGGCAGTGTTTAGTCCTGAATGCTGTCCTTATTCCACCGCACCAGGTGGTCACTCATCAGCGCTCATATTATCATGTTAAGCTAAGGCTGACCATTCACAAACCGCGACATTGGTTCATCTTTAGGCATTATGTTTGAAGCAACATCTGAACCATTTCAACTGCTTACCTAGCCAAAGTAAAAAGGCTCACTTCATACTGTCCACGTGAATTCCCTTAGTGATTGTGTTCCGTCTCTCGTTGAACCCTTCGTTCATATTTTTTGCATGATCTGGTAGTAACTATCGATTAATTTTGTTCCTTATTGACAGAACATAATTTGTCGCACTTCCTTTGTACTCGCAAGATGGAAACAGATTACTTCCAGCCTGTCCTTGGTGCCGCTATTAATGTGAGTTTCACTGTATTGAATCAAACTCTAACATGCACTTATCGCATTAGTTAGCACCAATTGGCACTAGCTTGCACTCATGTCATACCTCAGCATCACTTAGTGCTCTGATGTCTAGGACCGGTCAATGATGAGTGTTCCAGAAAAGCTTCTCAACCGACTTAGGCATTTCCTTGAAGCCGTTCCGCTTTTAACCCATTCTAACTGGGGCATCTGACCACTGACTTTGTCGCTCCCCAGGGCCGCATTTTGAAAATATGTATCAACTCAAGTCTGTGTTCTTCGTCATGCTTTTTTGCCACTTTATTGGCTTGTTACCCTGATGTTTCTGCTACATCTGCCTCTTTCTCTGCAATTCCGGTTAGGCTGATCTTGTTCCTTGCAAGTTCCAATCCACGACAAAATCAGAACTCATTGTCTCGAAGGGTGTTGAAAGAACATCAGGCACAATCTTTGTAAAGGTTTTTGGTTAGCCACATGCATGGGGCCCAGTGTTGCCTATTTACACTGTGCGAGTGCAGCAGACATTTCAGCACGGTACCAGAGCGCCTGTTGACAAACGTCCACTGATGCATTTTGGCAGTTATAAGTCCGGATGGAGCACCGGACCTAAGAAGTACTTTACACCTCGATGGCCAAACACGATCCATCGTTTGACATCTCTTGAACGCAGTGGCCATATCTCATCCATACAACAACTGGTTTTACAGCGAAATTTGGAATTTAACACTGGTCGTATATCTTTTAGGTTGTCTCCATATGTGCTTAGGCTTTGGAAAACAACGCAAACCTGTGTGATCTCTGTCGCGTTGCAAATTCTAAGCATGATGCATCCATCTTTTTTATAGCCACCGTCTGTTAACAGACATTGTGTCATCAAAACCATGGCAGAAGAAAAAATAGGGAAACTAGAAATACGAAATGCGACAAAAAATGGAAACGGTTTTTTGGTTTTACACACGCTATTTTGATTGTTTTGTTTTGTGAGTTTGTGTGCGTCAAAGGGATAGTAAAATGGCAGAACAACATTGACGCCACTGCTGTCTGTTGCAGGTCATGATATCCAATGTTCTCAACCTAGAAAACCGACTGGCCCTACTGTCGCCAAACTTCAAGTTGCCTTCTTCATGCTCCTTCTCCACGTCATTGGTTGTCCACCGCGGCACTTTTCCCAATCCCCCCCCCCCTCGGAGTGCAAATAGCGCTCGACGTGAAAGGCGATGGGCTGTCATGCGCAAAACATGTACGAGCCAGTGCATGCGATATCGGGGAATAACTGGCACTGCTCCTTCCAAGCACTTGGTCTCGGACCTCTACGTTGTTCACGTGGTGTTGCCACCACACTCGAGCAATCTTTCGTAGACAGCGTTTGTCGAAGACTGACAGCCGCTTCATATCTTCCGAGCGCATAGACCGTCTCACAGCCGTACAACAGTACTGCACTGACGGAAGCATTGTATACCCTGCACTTTGAGGTTGAGACTGACATCACGACGCGACAGGTGTCTCAGTTTGCTGAATGCAAGGCCGGACTTTGCGTTCCGTTGTGAGACTTCATCTCCAACACCGCCACCAGCCGTGTTGCAACTCCCTAGATAAGTAAAGCAAGGGGCTTGCTCCAGAACTTGTCCAGCAATGGTGAGCGCGGGTTCAGGCACCTGCCAGTCCTGGAGCAGCGTTTTACACTTTTCCTGGAGTGAAGCATAAGCCCTGCTTAGATGCCTCCATCACTAAGCGGTCCAAAGCGCTCTGGACGGTTTGTGGGTCGTCCCCCAGCAAGGCGATATCATCGGCGTAGTCCAAGTCCGTGACTCTGTCTCCAGGGAGGGGCTCACCACCGCAGTTCTGGACACCTTGCTACTTGGACGACATCTTCAATGGCAAAATTGAAGAGGAAAAGTGAAATAGGGCAACCTTGTCCTACAGTGCTGGTCACAGCAAACAAAGAAGAGATCGTGTCGTAAGCCGCCTTGACTTTGTTTGACGTGTGACTGTAAATCTCTTTCAGGATGGTTACAAACTTGTCGGGCACATCTTTCCTCAGTAAACAGTCCCAGAACGCAGATTATCTACTGAATCAAATGCCGCTTTGATGTTCAAGGACACTACGATTGTTGGCCGTCGATGGATGTGACGGAGCTCGAAAAGTTGGCGGAGCGTGAAGATTTGGTCAGTGCTGCCGCGATCTGGACGAAATCCGGCTTGTTCTCGGGAAAACTCCTCTCTGGTCATTGAAAGCCTGCGAAGTAGGACCGAAATGAAGATTTTGGATGAGACAGAGATCCCGCGGTAGTTACAGCAATCGTCTCATGAGCCTTTCTTGTGTATCGGAACAATGACCGATTCTCCCAATCTGTTCGGAACCTTCTCTTCAGTCCAAACTTTCGTGAACAGCGATAGGGTTTCGCTGACAACAACATTCCCACCATCTTTGAATAGAACCTGTGGTAGGCTGTCGGGACCAGGAGCCTTGTGGCGTTTCAAAGATTGGATTGCATCTTGGATCTCTGCTTCGGTTTGGGGGGGGGGCTGTGAAGAAAGGCCAAGCATCATCCGTTAGAGGCTGGAGGTGTCACAGTTGGCTGTGTTGGGTGGTTGAATTGAAAAGCGAAATGTACTGCCTAGCGATCCAATTGTCTGTGAAGGTTGCTGATCTTCGTGCCATCTGCTTCGCAAATCGTCTGGCTGATAGCGTGGGAATTGCAACTGGTTGCGCTGATGATGCAAAATAGACAGCGGAAGTTGCCAGCTGATGCAGCGGCTTCCATCTCATCATCTTGTTTTGACCACGAGGATTCACGATCAGAGCGGAGGCTTGCTTTCAGCTGTTGCCTAATAGACCGGCCGTGTTTGTTGTGCTCTACGCCAGCAGGCATCGCACGTCGGCGATCCAGCAGTTCCGAGGATCTTGCCAGCCTTGTAGTCTCCTGCCAAAATAATGACGTCTGTTTTAGGAGCCCTGAGGAGCATCTCGTGAAGGTTCTGGTAGAACTTGTCTTTGACTGTGTCTGAGCTACAGTCAATGGGCGCGTAGGCAGAGATCACGAATAGCACGCTTTTCGACTCGACGTCTACTAACTTTACAAGTGTCATGAAGCCTCATCGCACAAAGGCGACTATTGATCAGAATCCAGTTAATCAGAGCAGCCTCGGCTCTAGTACTGATGGCGATTCCAACACCAGCTTGCCCAGATGCGGCAGACTCGACGTCACCAGAGTGGCGGAGGTGGAAGCGGGTGCGTGGTTGGAGCGGTGGCGCTAGCTGATAGAGCGAGTTTGAGTCTTGGAGTCGCGTTTCACTCAGGAAACATAAATCATTTCCAAGTGTCTCTAGCGTGCTTGCAGGTCCAGCTTGCTGACCGATTTGCAGTAATGTGCATACGTTGAAGGCTGCAATTTTGAACTGTGTTCCGGGTTGCAGGAGCGAAGATGGGAGACTTCGGGACTGTCAGCTCTCTGGTGAGTGCCGTGTAATTGAGTTGGCAGATGTCACGGAAACAGATTCATCGGTGTAGGTGGGGTTGATCGCCATAGATGAATCAGGTAAAAATGCATGTGAATAGTACAGGGGAAGGGTAGGTAAAATGGTGGCGTGTGCTTGTGAAGTTGGCATAGTAGCATGAGTGAATAGCATCGTAGGAATAAGAGAGCGAGTGAATGGTTGTGGCTGCAAGTCCATGGTTCGTCAATAGGCGACATACTACCCGGTTGCCTAGGCCGAGGTAGCTAGGTTGTCTTAAGGGACCACCGCCCCGAGCTTTCGGCCAAAGGGCCTAACCCACAAGACAGCAGAGGGAGATGAGGGGTTCGCACTCGTTGGGAGCCGGTGACTGGACACTCACTTCATACACCTTTCGGATGACGATAAGCTATGCGCGGGGCCCAACACTCCCGAAATCAGAGACAAGATCCGATGCTCGGATTGCTTGCCGGTGTATAATGTCTCCAAATGAGACAAGGGGCAGTGACCTTATTTGCTGGCGAGTCACATCCGCCACACCGCAGTGTTGTTAAACGGACATCTGTGGCTTTTTATAGGGAGAACGCTTGCCAGGCGCAAACCCACCACTTCCTGGAACACTGCCGCCGAACCATTCGCCGGAACTGAAAATTCCCGAACCGCCCAGCTGACACTTTGAAGTGGTTGTTTGGCGAGCCAGCCCTTAATGCATCTACCTAAATAAGTAAACTGATCGACCATTTTGAGTGGTTATTCCGTGCTCTGAGTTTCGCGATCTTTTTCCCAACAACATCTCTAGCTGAAGTGATAGAAGTCCCCAGCTCCTTCTGTGCCGTACTGGGCACCGGCTGAACTCAGTCTGCTTGTTTCCTCGAGGTCGTATTCTTTAAGCATCTGCCTATCGCCTACTCCGTCATGCATTGTTTGTCCATATTGCACCCAGCTGAGTGAGGTCATGGAGCAACTAGTCGTTGATATGACATAATGATGTAATAATCCTATCGCAGTAGCGAACCGTCTCTTGAACAGAGCGACTTAAGGATTATGTAACTTGAGGCTCTTTCCCATATCGCCTTCGAATGCCCACCGATGCCTTCGCAATTTGGCTCTTATCTGGTGGGAACACTGTGTGAGCAATGAGCGCGTTCGGCGCCTTGTTTATGGCGCAGAAAGAAGAAGCGAAGCGCTCCGCACAGTTATTTCACGCACCAAGCTCCATTGGCCTGACTACGTGTTGCGCATGCCAGCCCACCGGTGCCCGCGACCTACGTTGTTTGTGTGCTGGGGATGTGGATGGAAAGAGAGGAGAAGTGGCCAAACGATGACTTGGTCGAGAAGAATGAAGGCCATTACTTCGAAGTTGGCCTCAGTTGGAGCCTCTCGACTCCCTGGTTAGGGACCGAAGGACGATGACCACGTGTGGTTAGGTACGCTTGTTGACATGGCTAGGAGCCGACCTAAATGGCTTTTGTGTTGTGAGTTTACTTGTACCTCCACCTCCTGCTTAGCCTTCCCTTCCAACCACGATCTCAATTATTAG